ACGGCAACAGCAGGATATCTAAGAGGAGTCCCAGTGAGGGCCCAACATTGATAGTGTAGCAGAAACCAGAGGCCTCAAACCAGACCAATGACTGTGCAATAAACACTTGCAAATAAAGATATATGGATTAAAGGGTTTACTGTATTAGTCACTGCCACACTGCAGCTCACACAGTGAAATCAAGATCATTTTATTTTTGTTTTTCTTTTCTCTTAAATTATTATTATTATTACAAATTGTGTGAAGGTACAGGGAGATGAATGGGATTGAGATGTATGATGTGAAAAAACAAGGAATAAAAAAATTAAAATGAATAACGCAAACAATATGTCTCTTAAGAATTTAACACCTCCCATTACTATCTTAGAAAAGCAACTCAACTAGTACATAGGACAATATTTTCAAATCCTTAATTATAAGCATGTTCAAAGAACTCAAAAAGGACATGAGCAAATCCTTGAATGATAACTTTGAACACACACACACACTTAAGTAAAAATTATCCAAGAAATGAAAAAAATAGAATTTAAAAAAGAGACAGTTTCTGAAGCAAAGCAATGATGAAATAAACCAGAAATGAAAAACTCAGGAAATCCAGGAAGACATCAGAGAAAATTATCACCAAGAAAATGAATTAACTGGAAGAAAGAACATCTGGACTCAAAGGCAAGGAAGAGAGAATTAGATCACTCAGTCAAACAATATCTTCTGTCTACAAAAATTTAAGTAATAAAATATGTGAGAAATACGGGACTCTATAAAAAGACAAATCTCAGCATAATAGGTATACAAGGAAAAAGAAACCCAGACCAAAGGCATAGAATATATTTTTCACAAAAATCACAGAAGAAAATGTCCAAATCTAAAGAAAGACATACCTTTTAAGGTGAGAATACTAGCTAAGAATACCTTAGACAAGACCAGAATATGTTCTTAAAAAAGAAAGTAATGTAGACCAATGGAACTAAATAAATGATCCAAACATTAGTACATGTAACTATCTCCATCTGATATTGAACAAAGGTACCAAAAAGTGACATTGGAGAAAAGACAGCACATCTAAGAAGTGTTTCTAGGAAAACAAGTGGATGTCCTCAGGGAGAAGGATGAATTTAGACTGGCATCAATTACCCTGAATAAAAATTAACTCCGAATGGTTCAAGGACTTCAATGTTAATCCTGTAATACTGAAACTGCTAGAAGAAAACACAGACAATACCTGACAACATATAGATGTGGGAGTCCTGAATAGGACTCCATTTGCCCAGGAATTAAGGCCAACAATTTGCAAGTGAGCCTCAAAAAAACTAAAAATCTTCTGCACATCAAATGAAACAATCAGTCCCATAAAAAAAACCCACACAGTGGAAGGAAATCTATTCTAGCTACACATCTGACAGATGATTAATATCCAGAATATACAAAGAACTCACAAAACCAATTTAGGAACACAAATCACCCAACTGAAAAATGAGCCAGAGCTCTAAACAAAGAGTTCTCATAGAAGAAATAAAAATAGCTAAGAAATACCTCAAAATGAGTTAATCATCCTTAGCAATTAAACATAACATAAATTAAAACTACAGTCTTACTCCAATTAAAATCGCTAAGATCAAGAAAACAAATGGCAGCAAACACTGGTGTAGGGAAATGGGATCCTTTATTCAGTGTTGGCAGGATTGTAAACTGGTGCAAAGACTCAGGAACTCAGTGTGGAGAATTCTCAAAAAGCTAAAAATAAATATACTGTATGACCTAGCTATACTATCCCTTGGCATATGCTAAAAAACTTGACATCCCACTTCCCAGAAACTTGCTCAGTCATGTCCATTGCTGCTCATTTCATAAAAACTAGCAAGTAGGAACAACCTTGTCTTCAACTGATGAATGGATAATGAAAATCTGGTATATGTTCCTGATAGAACACTGTCCAACTGCAATGGGAAACATGAAAATTTCAAGTATGCATTCTATTTAATTTTGTGCATCAGATTGTGTGCACATATGTTTATTAGGATTTTAATGTCTTCTTGGTTCCTTGTTCCCTTGAGTACAGTGAATGTCCCTCCTTTATTTTTTCTCCCTCTGATCAGTTTTAGTTAAAATTCTACTTTACGGAATATCAGGGTAATGATACTTGTTTGCTTTCTTTTCTCCTTGCTTGGATTAACTTTCCCTTCCTTCTGCCTTAAGGTGGTGACTATCTTTAAAGCTGCAAAAAGTTTCTTATGGGCAACAAAAAGATAGATTTTGTTTCTTAATTCACTCAGTTAAGCTGTATCTTTTGATTAGAGAGTTCAGACCATCAATATTTTATGCTATTATTTAAAGATGAGTGATGATTGCAGTAATTTTATTGTTCATTTACTGTTGTATTCTTAGTCCATTTCGTATTTCAGGAAATATAGCTTTATTTGTTTTCTTCTATAGTTTCTTTGGTCTGTTTATTCAGAGTGAAATATTTATTGCTTTTGGTGTTCTCTGAAGAGCTGGTTTGGTTAACATGAATCTTTTAGCCTGTGTATATTTTTTCTTGTTTAACTATGACAGATATTTTTCCTGGGTTACCATAGTCTACTTTGTCATCTGTGGTCTTTGCTCAAGGATGTTTTGGATTTTAACATTTATATTGAGAAATCAGATGTTATTCTGATGTATGTATGCGTAAGCCTTTATGAATGACTTTTGCTTTTCTCTTGAAATTTTTAATACTCTGCTGTGTTTTGTTTTGTGTGTGTGTGTGTGTGTGTGTGCGTGCGCATGCGCACAAGCGCATGCACGCACATTTTTTACATTATTAAAGGTTCTGACTATTCAATATCTAAATTTGTCTGGGAATTCAAAGCCACATGCAAGTTGGTAATAGAAGATGGTGGAGTAGCAATGTGGAAATGTTAATATTAAAGATTGGGATGACTTTGACTTAAATTTCTGCAGTAGAAGTGACCATTGAGCAAATAGTACTTTACGGTAGAGGTCCAAGATGTGGATTCTCAAATTTTGAGTGATGGTTCTATCAGGATCTTCTAGAAAATTTTTGACTGTGTAGGCCTCTAGCTAGGCAAGGCAGACATTAAGAAATTTGGCCACTGTAATGATACATTGTATGTGGTTTAATAAAGTCACTGGAGATCAAAATGCAAAGCTAGCCACAACCATAGAGCCAGGCAATGGTGATGCACACCTTTAATTCCACCAGGCACATTAGTTAGCTATAGAAGCTGGGCAGTGGTGGAACACACCTTTAATCCCAGGACTCAGGAGACAAAGGCAGATGGATCTCTATGAATTCAAGGCCACCCAGGGTTACATTATGGTGAATCAGTCTAAAAAAGAAACAGCTCACATAAGGAATACCTCAGCACTCAGGATCCCACGCCTGTAACCCCAGTTCTAGATAGGAGCTGGTCATTCAGCATTCAGTCTCAGAGATTTATTCTGCAGGCACACTGAGGACAGGACAACCTGAGTTAGAAGTAAGAGCTAGTGGCTGACTGCTTTGCTTTTCAGATCTTCAGCTTGAAGCTTGAACCCCAATATATATTTTTTAATTATTCATGTTACAGGTCACCAGGAAACCTGAACAAAAATTGGAGAAAGTGTATGTGGAGAAGGTATCTACATTATGCTGAGTGGTTGTGATAAAATAAACGGCAACTGAATGGAACTTTAGATCATGATTAATACCTAGAGCGTTGCTGCACCCATCCAGGCTGTTGTAGGCATCCCATGCTTCCCTTATGCTCATCAGGGTTACATGAGTGAGAGATGAGCTCTAATCTCAGACAAGTCTGTTGTAAATAAGCTATCTGTAGCATGTGCAGATTTTATCATCACAAAGAATCCACAAGATTTTCAAATCCAGGACTTTTTGATAGCCCAATAGATCAGTGGTTCTCAACCTAAGGGTCACGATTGCTTTGGGAGTTGAAGGATCCTTTCACAACAGTCACCTAATTGAAAAATATGGCTATTTATATTGTGATTCATAGCAGTAGTAAAATTACAGCTATGAAGTAGCCACAAACACAATTTTATGATTGGGGACACCACAACATGAGGCACTGTATTCAAGGGTTGCAGACCCAGGAAGGCTGAGAACTACTGTAGTAAGCAATCTGTCAGTGGATCCAGCTGTCTTAAAATGGAATAGGGAGAATATCGCTGGATTGAGCAGCCGTGCTTTGCCTTACCTTACCTTTGTTCACAAAGCAAGTCATTTGTACAGCACACTGAATGTGGACTTTGCCTCGATTCATAGGAAACAGAAGAATGCGACATATGAGATATTAAAGCAACATGCCTGGTGTTAGTGAGAGACATGAAAGGATCAGGTTGTTGACCCTGTGGGATATCACAGGTGACACTTGTGGTGTAGTCTGCTGCGTTGACAAATTTCTGTCAAGGGAAGTTACCAAGGTCTATGCAGTTTTGTCTCATGGAATCTTCTGGTCTGGTGATTTCTTGCGTCAGTGAAGCATGTTTTAAAGCAGTAGTAGTCACTAATACCAGGCCTCAGGAGGATAAGATACAGCACTGATCCAAAATAAAGGTAATCCTTGAAAAAGCCACGAGGAGAACTCACAGCAGAGAATCTGTTTCCTATCTGTTCAACTATATTCTTTCAGGAACTTTAACGAAATAATATCAATCCCATTCCTTTGTTTTTCTTGGTATTTGATGACAAATTCAGCTGAAGAACAGCTTGCTCCGGTGCAGTTTTCACATGCCATATTAGAAATAATAAAATTTTTCCTGAATTGGAGAAGGGCACATTGACATTAACTGCTATAATTTTCTTCGTGCATCATCTCATCGCAGCTCTCTTGGTTATTTTGTGACCCTTGCAGCTTCTAGAGTGTAGCTATTACAGGATGTCTACATTGTTGAGGGTGTTCCATAAAGCCACTAGGATGTGACTGGTGATGCTCAGACTAATTTGCATGTGAATGTTTGGGTCTTTTCCTTGTTTATAACCACTGGGAACCAAGGCTGCCTGTGTGCATTAAGATTTCCAAGGTACTTTCAGCCTGATCTTTTCCTTGTTGTAGGTCTTTTGAGGTACAATGATCATTGGACCACAGTCTTCTGCTTCCTGTTTTATAACCACTAACATCCACTTTAGGTAACGTACTGTAATGCACACTTCTTTAGCCTGCTAGTTCTGAGGTAGTAGGTTTTAGGTGGTATCATAACAATTGCAGATTAACTTTAAGTATTTTGTACTTATTTTTTCTCAGATCGATTTGGCCTCTCAGTTGAACTGATACTCATTCAGAACTATTGGATGTCATAGTCTCATCCAGAGAGTGTGCAAATCATTCTTTATTCCTCACAATAGCCTTAATCATTTATTTTATCATCATTTGGTTCCTACTTCCCAACAGAAGAGATCAAGATTATACTACTTAGGCAAAATATATTCTGTGAAATATGACACAGAGGATGAGTTTATGCTGTATTAATTACACTTTAAATATCTGCTATGGATCAGGCAGGGTTTTATAATGGTGCTACATTTTACTTCATAAAATTAAAATTGAATTTCATTAAATAATATACTTTTCTATTTTTGTTTGAAATATAACTTAAGGTACAAACATCAAACCTTTAGAGAGCATGAAATGTAAAAAAAGATAAAGACTATTGAGGACATAGACCAGCACACAAACACACACTCATTTGCTTCTAAGTCACCTTAAGTTCTTTGCTGGTAGTATGAACACATTCATAAAGCTTTTGTAAGTACATTAAAACATACTCACATAATCAACGAAAATCACATTATTAAAAGTCACGTCTGTCACCTGACAGAGGACATTTTCACAGATGTCACCTTTAATATTTTCACAGGAGCATGTTACAGATATCCAGGTGCCTGGAGGACTCTCCTGCTGTAAGGCAGCTCCAGGGAATTCTAGTAGGTGACTCCAATTTAGAACCATTGTTTTGTGGAGTAACACAGTTTCAAGACACTCCCAGTTTGAAGTTATTCTAGGGGATCTGCTGAACCCTAAAACTCCCTCAGCAGATGGATGTGCTTAGATAGGATAGAAAACACCAACAAAGAAATTTCTAATTTCTAATAACTAATTTTCTGTAGCCTCTCTTCCTTCATTCTTCCAAGTCTCTCCCTGAAACCTTCCTTCTACCTCCCCCATCCACCCCTCCTATTCAGAAAAGGGCAGACTTCCCAAGTATATCAGCCAGCCATGGCATATTAACTTGAAGTTATACTAGGCACCTCCTCTCCTTTTGAGGCTGGATGAGGCAACTCAGTAGGAGGAAATGGTCCCAAAAGGAGGTAACAGAGTCAGAGGTAACCTCTGCTCCCACTGTTAGGAGTCCCACAAGAAGACCACGCTACACAACTGTAACATATGTGCAGAGGGCTTAGGCTCCCTGGTTGCTACTTTAGTCTCTTTGAGCCCCTGTGAGCCCAGATTAGTTGATTCTGTGGGCTTCCTTGTGGTGTCCTTGAGTCCCCTGGCTCCCACAACAAAGAAATTTAAGTAGAGGCTGGAGTTTTTCCGTTCAGGTCGAGCTTGCAAGAATGTGATTTCTAGCTGGCTGCATGAGTTTCTATGTAGAACCCCAGAGGTATCAGTGTTCTCATTTTTAGTGACACTGATAATAACAACAGTGGTAATATGTATACAAGTAAGTTCCCCGTGGAGTCATGATGATTAATTAACATACAGTCTAGCACCGAGTAAATCTTAAGTAAATGATATTGGTGTTGCTGCTATCACTATTATATTACTATTCTAAGCCTTAGTAGATAATTGGTCCATACTTGTGCAAATACTTGCATTCTTTTTTAAACTGACTGCATAAAATTTTACAGTGCGGTTATAATGAATATGTGTGGGAAGCTAAGTGCATTGACACACAATTTGAAATGGCTATGGGGCTCATATTCCACTTTTTTAAAGAGATAATAATGTTTATATTTTAAGTCAATTTGCTCTATGTCAACACTCAACAACACTTTCATATTACCTAGATATAATTTGGAAGAACACCGAAATATACTTAAAGAAGAAAGCAGCCACTGAAGTGAACCATTGTGAGTTATATCTTCTAAAGTAACTTTCTAAAAAAATTAAATTAGGTGAAAAGTTTCCTTAGTGTTGCTTTAGCATTCTTTGATCATTCAGGTTTTTTTAAAATTTAAACTAGAAACAAGCTTGCTTCACATGTCAATCTCAGCTTCCTCACCTTCTCCTCCCCAACTCCCTACCCCATTCCCCCTCCACCCTCCAGGGAGGGTGAGGACCTTCATGGGGAATCTTCGAAGTCTGTCTATCATTCCAGGCAGGGACTAGGCCTTTTGTTTTTGTTGAGACATAATTTCTCTGTGGCTTTGGAGGCTGTCCTGGAACTAGCTCTTGTAGACCAGGCTGGTCTCAAACTCACAGAGATCTGCCTGCCTCTGCCTCCCGAGTGCTGGGATTTAAGGCCTGTGCCACCACCTCCTGGCTCTTTAATCATTCTTACATAAAATAGTAAGTTCAAACAACAAGTCCTGTTTATCTGTTCTTTTAGTTCATAATTTTCTATGCCAGATAATAGAGAATTCGGTATCAAACATCCATCTAATAAACAAAAAATTTAGATGGGTTCATTTTGAGTCAATATAAAATCTGACATGAGTTTTTGCAAAAACACTGAACTTTATTTTCTTCAATACCTTTTCATATTCTATTTTATTTTCATTACTGTCAAAATTACAATTCACTGAAATGACAAATTTCTAAATGCCAGCAAAACTGATCAAGAGTTAAGGAATGTTAATTTATTCAAGAAATCTCCACTAGAAAGAAAGGGAGATATTAATGTATCACATGCATTATTTACATGGGTCATTTTTACCAGCTGAGAATCCCAGGCATTCAAATTATTATTCTTAATTGTTTCTAGTTGCATTTGGCCAAGTTGAACAAGGAAAAGAAGCTTGGAGACCAGCTATTCTCAGCCATCAAGAAAAGTGCAGTGGTAACGTCTGGAATTTCTGTCACGGTTTTTATTAGTTGAAGATTTTGTACAATATATTTTGATCATATTTACCCCTCCTCAGTCTTCTGAAAATCCATCCACCTTTCCCTACCCACCTAACTTTGTGTCTCTCCACATATTTTTCTCTTTATCATATGTCTCTTCTCAATTCTTTTTTCCATTTTTTATTTTTTGATTTCACTTTACATTTCAACCACAGTTTTCCCTCCCACTGCTCCCTCTCCTCCCTCTTTCCCACCTCCTCCCACCTAGCCAACCCCAGTCCACTCCTCCTCATGGGTAAGGGCTTCCTGAGGAGTCAGCATAGTCCTGTACAATAGTTTAGTGCAGAGTCTTGCCCCTCTCCCATGCATTAAGACTGAGCATGGCATCCTACCATAGGGAATGGGCTTCAACAAGTTAGCTCATGTTCTGGGATTAATTGTGTTCCTACTTCTTCTGAGCATGACATCTTACCCTAAGGAATGGGTTCCAATAAGCTAGCTCATGTACCAGGTTTGTATCATGGTCCTATTGCCAGGGGCCCCCTGTGATAGTCCACGCTTCACAACTGTCTCCCACATATGGAGGGTCTAGTTCAGTCCTCTGGACTCTCCACAGTTATAGTTCTAGAGTCCGTGAGTTTTCATGAGCTTGGTTCAGCTGTCTCTGTAGATTTCTCCATTATGATCTTGACCTCCCTTGCTCATATGTTCTCTCCTCCCTCTCTTCATCTGGATTTCTGAAGTTCAGGATCCCTTGAGCTTGGTTGCAGATCTCTGCATCTGGTTCCATCATTTACTAAATGAGGGCTCTGTGATGACAGTTGTCTCCTCAACTTTAAAATCCATCAGGTGCAGTTGGTCCTATCCATATATTCTTGGATTTGTGACTTCCTCTGGAGCATAGACAAACCACTATCGGACACACCTGTAAAACAATCCTGACTGTGCCCCATCCAGCAACTATTATGTCTTCAGCTATGGAAAGGATTTACTACCCACTTCCCTTTTTCATGCTGGAAGATTTTGTCTGGCTTGAGCTTACACGTGTCTATATATGTTGTTACAACTGTTGTGAGTCTATAATCGCAACATTCCTTTTATGTTTAGATAACACTGCTTCATTGCAGTCATCACTGCTTCTGGCCCTAAAATATTTTCTGCCCACTCTCAGGATGGCCCTTGATCCTTGCGAGGAGGGATGTTATTATAGATTTGCTGTTTAGGAATGAGAATTACATAATCTCTTGTTTTCTACCTTGATGAATTGTAGCCCTCTGTGTTAATCTCTGTATACTGCAAGGAGCTTCTGAGGTGTGGCTTTGAGACATGTACTAATCTAATAAGCCATTAGGAGTTCACTTAATAGTACATCCCTTTAGTAGAGTAGTAGTAGTAGTAGTTTCTCCCCATAAGAACTGTCTGGCCACAGGTTCATGGTATGTTTTCCAATTTGTGGGTCATTCCTTAAATTTAATCAGAAAATAGTTGGTTATTTTAATGGCATTAATGTCACTATTGCAACACTGAACTGTCTTGTTAGGCCAATTGTTATTGTAGCTTACATGATTCACAACTGAGTAATATTGGTGATTTCTTTTCTGCTTCAGTCATATACATAGCATCTTCTAGCATTATGGAACTAGTAAAGATGTAGGTTACAGGTCAGTATGCATTTGATTTCTTCATATTCCGTGATTCAAGTGTGTGATGTCTTCAATACTAGGATTTGACTGTCAAGATCTGGAGTTCAACCAATAACATTGGCAATAACCTACAATATTTAGGGATCTCTGGGGACAATTTGTGTGTGTGTGTGTGCGCGCACGCGTGTGTGTGTGTGTGATGCACTTGTGTTGATACATATGGAAGCCAGAGGTGGACTTTTTATTTATTTATTTATTTTGAGACAGGGTTTCTCTGTATTGTTTTGGAGCCTGTCCTGGAACTTTTTCTGTAAACCAGGCTGGTTTCGAACTCACAGAGATCCACCTGCCTCTGGTTCCTGAGTGCTGGGATTAAAGGAGTGCGCCACCAACACCCAGCTGAGGTGGGCTTATTTTATGAAAACAGGATCTCTGAATGTGGTGCTCTCCATTTTAGCTAGGTTGGCTGGCTATTAAGTTTCTTAACTCTTCCTGTCTTACTACAGTTGTAGGGTTACAAGCATGTGCCACTATTCTTGAATTTTTTCTCCATTAGTTTTGGGAGTTCAAATCTAAGTCTTCATGCATTTATTACATTTTTGGTTTTGTTTTGATTTTTGATTATTTTTTTTTGCAGACACTTAACCATTGAGCCCCTGGGTGAGGCAATCTTGGTACATCTTAATACTTTTGGTTACTAGTAACTCATAAACACTTGTTAATTAACATATTTAATGTAGATTTCAAGAATGAAAAGCTTATGAGTTTTAAGTTTAAAATAAAATAAAATGAGAGCACTCACTATAGTAGTTGAAGTTCTCTAGAGGAACAGAATTGATAGAATGGAATATATATATATGCATATATGGATTTATTACATTGGCTTACATGGTGCAGGTGGGAAAATTCAACAGTGGTGCTCAGTCCATGAGGCTGGATATCTCAGCTGCTCTGAACCAGTGTGAGGTCTTGATGGTTCCCAGAGAACATCAAGTCTTCAGTTCACATTGAAGGATGACCCCACTTAAGAATCTAAGCAACAGTGGAGAGGCTCCCTTAAATGCTCTTCTCCTATAATGAGATTGATGACTACCTTATATGCCATCATAGAGCCTTCATCCAGTAACTGATAGAAGCAGAAGCAGAGATCCACAGCTAAGCACTAAGCTGAATTCCCGGAATCCAGTTGTAGAGAAGGAGGAATGATGAGCAAGTGGGTCATGAGCATGCTGGGGAAACCCACACAAACAGCTGAACTGAGCAAGTGGGAGCTCATGGACCCCAGTTGACAAATGGTGAACCAGCATAATATCGAACCAAGTTCCCTGAACAAGGGTGTCAGTTGGGGTAACTGGGTGGTCTGTGGGGCCTCTGGCACTGGAACCAGTATTTATCCCTAGCGCATGAGTGGATCTTGGGAACCCATTCCCTATGGAGGGATACTTTCTCAGCCTAGATACTCAGGGGAGGGCCCAGGTCCTGCCCCAAATGATGTGACAGACTTCGACGATCCACCATGGGAGGCCTCACCCTCTCTGAGGAGTGGAGAAGGACTGGGGGGAATAGGAGGGTGGGAGGGAGAGGGAACTGGGATTGGTACGTAAAATTAGATTTTTTTACTTTAAATAAAAATTGATTAAAAAAAGAAAAAAACTGAAGAAGCTGGTTTTCAGTGACAGTGAAGAATTACAGAAGTTACAGCAACAACAATATAGATGCACTTGCCATTAAGGAGAGAAGGCAGGAAAAATACAACAGCTTTCCCCATAGACACCTTATGCCATGGCCTTAAAGACTTAGTCAGAAGCATGTCTATTAGTTGATTCTGGATGAAATAGATTTGACAACTAAAATTAAGTGTAACTCTCCTGTATTTTTCATACTTGTCTGAAACCCCTGGCCTTGTGAATATTAGGCAAAGAATTTACTACTAAGTCACATTGTAGCCCCAAATACATAATTCTTAAATACTGTGTGTGGTAGCAAATTCATTTCAACTACAGTACTACTAACAGAAAAAGGTTAATTTGATTACTCAGGGTGTATGTTCCTTATACAGTCTTAATTGGAGAAAAATTTGTACTATGTGATGATGTTCAATTTCTGTACCACCTTAATAATTAGTCAATGTAACACTAGCTAATTGAAATATTTACATCAAGGTTATTCTCCATTATCCAAGTAAAATATTATGTTTTATGATACAGGTAAACTATCCAAGCTCACACGATCAGTAATGTAGTATTAAAGCAAATATTTTCCTTTTTTTTAGTTTTTCAAAACAGGGTTTCTCTAGGTAGCTATGTAGAACAGGCTGGCCTTGATCCACCTGCCTTTGCCTCCTGATATTAAAGGCTTGTGCCACCACCACCTGGTTTAGCAAATATGTTTTATCTTATATTCCAAGTACAGGGAGAATAACAAAATAAACCACATAACTGATAGATAAATACATGACTGATAGAATTTGAGAAACACTAGGTTGCTCAAACCTCCAGGAGTAGACATTCATTGCAGCATTTCTTTGAATCTTCAGTCTATTAGTGTGTACTGAGAATTTCAGAGGAGGGTAGTATTATGTTTGTTGTGTGGGCTAGTATTATATCATTGAATCCTTTTCTGGAGTATTTTGGAAAGTAATGAATTAAAGATTTCACGAGAAGAATCAAAGTGAAATGAAATTGCAGGACGGTGTATGAGTTTAGAATATTCTGCCAAATTTTGTATTTTGGGATACATTTTATTGGGTTCATGCTGATAAATTCACTTTGTCAGGCAATATCTAGTGATAAAGAGTTTTGCCTCTTGTGATCTTTCTTTATTCCAATGCAAGTTTCCTCATGAGCCGCCCCAGAAATATTCTAGGTCCCCCTAACAATGTCTGATCTTGAGAATAATGTACTTATTGTCTGTGGTTTTAAAGTATGAAGAAAAAGAGACAAAACACCAAATTATAGCCAGTGTCCATAAGAGCATTTCCTTGAAATGCTATTTCTGAGGGAGAAGTAGACACATAAACAGTCACTAACAAGTACTGATACTGGCAGCACTTGTTATTACATGATTTCTATCCATCATCCTGCAGGAAGGAGAACCATGGTACCAAAGCAGGATCCTAGTTAAGAATGATACTTCTATTTTGTATTGTTTTTTGTTTGCTTTATGTTGGTTTTCCAGTCTTGACAAAATACACATTTTGGACTGAGAGGTGATTTGCAGCTGTGGGTTGCTGTCCTGTGCAGAGAGGGTGCTTAGTACCCATCATTGCTGACCTCTACTTCCCAGATGTCAGCAGCTCCTCACTCGCCACTATCTCCAGAGACTGGCAACGTGTCTTGGGGTAATATCACCC